TAGTCAGCAAAGAGACCCCCCCCCTCCCAAACCCCAGACACTAGAAGAATGTGCATTCACCTATAGTGAAGTAAGACAGGGAAAGAAACCTCATTTCTGAAAAGTGCTGAGCAACCAAAGTATTTGAAAATTTGTACTGATTTATAGCATTTAGCAGACAGTGATATGCAATCAGTAGGAGGGTGTCAAGCTGCATATTTCCCTTCTGTAGTAGCTTGCAATGAGTATGGACAGTATAATATAGAAGTTGTTGATTGCACTGATCTGTTGCAACTCATAGCACAAAGACTTCACAAATGTTCTCTGAAAGGCAAGGCAAAAATCCTTCAAATAAAATAAGCAGACCTACATTTCTGATTCAAAATATGTTATGCATAAAATGAAGATAGACAGCTAATAAAGCATTTGAGAGGCTCACCCTCTGGAATATCTGAAAGCCATGCCCTGTAATGCAAAAATACATTTTTCTAACCCTAAGTGAAAAGAAACCATTTTGTGATCAAGGAAGGAAGGGAAATGTGAATATGACCTAAGGATGACTTTTTCAAAAACAACAGGTCACACCCCAGTGCCGGACTGAAAGCAGGCTGAAGGGCTAAAGGTCCAGTGTGGTATAGTTGTGAAACTGACCAACTAGGACTGGGGAGAGACATAGGTTCAAGTCTTCCTTCAGCCATGGAAACTTGCTGGTGACTGAGCTGATCACTTTCAGCCCAACCTACTTCATAGGACTATTTTTTAAGGAATATAATGAAGGGAGTTCCTCCTGTAAACTGCCTGAGAAAAAAGTGTGATATAAATTAACAAATAATAATGAGAATAATCAATCCTGTCCACACTTTAAGCCCTGACTATTCCAGCTCAACATTAACAGCACACTTAGGATAACCATAGCATTTTGTTGTCATTGCTATTTTTGTAAAATAAGTTGAAAAAGTAAAACAGAATGAATTGCAACAAAGGTAACATTGTGGAGATATGCTGTTTTACTGCAATGTTCATTTTCAAACCTTATTAAAGAGTACTTTTTTGAAAACCCTCTCTTTTTCAACGAATTTGGAGAAATTTACTGAATTTTTCACCTAAAGTCCAAGTTTTACTACATCAAAGATAGTTTTCACATTTGTTGATGTTTACGATATCCCCATATGATTTAGACTTTGCTTTATTGAATTAAAATATTAAATGTTTGAAATCTGTTATACTGTAACATCAATTAACAGTAATGAATAATAATTTCATAGCTCAAAACTTAACTCCACTAGATGGCAGGGATGTACTGTCTTTTAGCTCTTACCTGCCAATGTTCCAACTTTTTGCTACTTTTTGCAACAAAAAGGGAGAAAAGAACTATACTTTAGGTGTTAGCTGAAGCTAAGATTACCTTATGCCTTATTTAAGAGAGGCACTGTTTGAAATTAGTAAAAACATTTACATATTTATATTTATATATAGTTATCACTAACTAAAATGGGATGACAAGTCTGTGATCTTCCACATGTTGTTGTGTTATAGTTTTCATCTTATCGTTATTACTGACTATGCAGTGGCTGATGAAAGCTGAAGTCCAATCCTACCTGAAATCTGGCATTTCCTCTTCACCAGCTTGAGAAAGGGAATTCTGTCTTGCATAAAGGAGGAAAAAGAAAAGGTCATATTGTAAAAATAGTAACAACTTGATATCTCAAGTTCAATTTATAGCACATTCACCAGTTTTGAGCCTTCAGAGATGTGCTGGATTTCAACTCCTCTAATTCTCATCCAGAATTAGTACGGTGGGAGCTAAAAACTAACACATCTGAATGGTGACATAATTGAGAATGCTGTTCTATTTCAAGACCTATCTAATCCATATCTAGTTTAAATATAAAGAACAGTAAGACTGAACAGCAGAGTTCTTGAAGGGGCACAGCAGCAGTTGATAAATGTATCAGGGACTGAGCTCATACATCACACTTGACTAATCATTCTAACTATGAAGAGTTGTGCTGAATTTCTCTTTGCATTATGGCAGGGATTTTTACATTTGCACATACACACAAAAATTAGCATGTGCAAATATGTGTCATTTCCATTTATGAGTGGTACATAAATGGCCATTTTACAGATTCCAATATGAAGTAATTCCTCACAGATTCTATAGGGCAGAGGGAGAGTGAAGCATGTAGATAGGTACAACCCAACTAAGCGAAACATCTATTTGAAGGGAGATCTGGATGGGACAGGAAGGAATAATTCTTTCCCATAGCACCTTCTAGGGCTATGCATACTTATGTGCTATTCATTGAAACAATGCATTTTTTTCCAGACCTCCATATGAGGCTGAAAAGAAAACTGGAGCTGCTTTAAAGAGTTAATCCAGCTCTTAAAGGTGCCACAACTTTTTCAGGCTCACAAGGAGTCCTAAAATAAATTGATGAATAGTACAGAGACATTATGCTTGCATGTAATCCAAAGCACTTCTGAATTACTGTTGAAGCATGCATGCATAGTTAATTTTCTACTGAAAATATTCCAGCTGTTTTTAGCCATTTCAGAAAAAAGATATGACTATTCACCCATGAAAAGACATAGTTATTCACTCATAAATGATATAAGTACCCATAAAGAAATATACATATGTTGCATTCACATAGGATATCCAGAGAGTGTGTTCTTTTATTCTCTGTTCCCATAATTAAGTGACAACATTTAAGTTTCAGACTTCATGTTAAAAATCAGTACTGTATGTCATGCTGAATATGAAGTAAAAGAATACAATGGCTTGTCTCATATCATCCATTCAACTGGATTTCATTATAGAGAAACTGCTACACTTTTGTCTGTTTCAGACATTGACACTGTCTTTATTTCTACCTCAGTCGCTCTCAGTAGTAAAAAAGAAATATCTCACAATGTTGGAACTCAAAATTAATAAATAACTGGAAATGCTTTGATCAAACTCAAATTTCAACCACAGAGCAACTTCCACAATATTGCAGGTTCATCAAAACATTGGTTTAAAAATAGTAATTCTATTATCAATATTCTCTACTTTGTAACTATGTATTTATTTATTTATTTGGCTGACTACTGAAGGCACCCAGTGGTTTAAAATAATTTTTTTTTTAAATCACAAAAATTAACCAAAAATAAGCCAGATCCAAAGAACATCTTGGGACCTAAGTAAAAGAAAAGCGTATCCTGCTCAGCATTTAACAGAAAGTTAACAAAAAAGGCTTCTCTGCTCTTCTCCTTTCCAAAGCCTGGGCAGGATCCATTTGAAGCTGCCTCCTCTGATTTTCCATGGTATGTGCACTCAAGTCACCTAGCTAGAAAATACTGTGTGGTTCAAGCAGCAGTTCTCTGTGATAAGGAGGAATGATCTCAACCTTGCCCTCTTCTGATTTCCAAGATTCAGCTTAGAAAAAATATGGCTCTTCTATTAAGTTAGCCAGATGTTCTGGTTCAATGTAAACTGAAAAGGGTGGAAGGTTAGAGTCAAAGCTGAGAGCCAAATTTGCAGCAAGGGAGGAGATGCAGTTATAGAAAGAAGCTCTACCAAAAGCACACTAAGCTCTTCTCTGCAGGTAGTCAGGAAGAGCATGCTGAGCCCACCTGTCAGAAACTCAAGAGATGAATTATTTTCCATAACCATTAAGGCAATGGCAGGGAGTTTGGAATCATCTCCTCCTTTGGGCTAGTGGCTTGATTGAATTGAGCTAGCCAGGCCCCACAAGGAGTAGATGTTTGTCTGGTTATGGAATAATCTGCAGCTGGAGGAGAGGGCTTGTAGAAGAGGTGAAAGTCCTCCCAGCCTGCCCTCAGTATCATCTGCTTGACTGCCATTCACAATTCATAGGGCAATGGAGCCATGTAGGATACACCTCCCAGCTAAGCCAGATTCCTGCCAGGTTTCAGTGCCCAGCTACAATTTCTTCTCCCAGACCAAGAGGTTAACTGGGCTAATTCACTGACTGCAAGATAGTGACTTTCAGGCACACATAGGGTGGCCACAGGCACCTCCTGCATTCTTTGGTCCCTTTGGGAAGAAGGGAGAAAACAGCTCTTTTCCACCACTCCTGGACTACATTTAATTCATTCTGCTGCTGCAGCTATTCCTTTTTGGAGGCAGGGGAATATCAGCCTCATGAAGGTTGATATTCTCCTGACCAAACCACAACCCTTCTCCCAAAATTCCCTCCAGGTCCCATTTATCTGAGAATGTTTCTTACAAGACCTAGGAAATTGGCATTTTCAATCACTGTCCTGGTGCCTTTGGAACTCCCTCCTTATAGAGATTTGTTCTCCTGGTGCATTTCAGTGGGACTTGGCTTTTCCAAGAGGAAGGCATGCGTTGAATGTTGGAATGCAACGGTGGATATACACATACACGTTCACATACGCCTACATACATATCCTAAGTTATGATACTATTGACATTTTTATTATTACATTTCAACTGATTTATTTATTTTTATTTAGGTTTTTTTAAAATAATTTTTCTGATTGTCAATTTCCAATTTGGCACATGCCAAAATGAGTGGCATACAAATACAGTAAATAAATAAATGAACAAATTAATCAACAAAAAATGATCTCAGAACTGGGGGAGGGAGGATATGTGGATGAGCTAATTACTTTAATGAAGTCATCTATAGAGTTTTATTAAGATGTCAGGTCATTTAATCAGTGTTAGTGAAATGCTTATGAAGGTTGGGATCATGTTATATATGATGGACTGTTATTACTGTGTATTTTCTTAAGCCAGTACTTTGCAAACAAGTTATAGCAAAGAAACAGTGAAGTATAAGTTGATCTCAGTAGTAAGAATGAAGCTTTGTCCTCTTGACTAGTGGAAACAAATCCAGTTCAGGTAGATTATTAAGAATATGACTAATAGGATTTTAAAAAGCAGCTGGCTTACTGTTTATGAATGTCAGTTATATTACAAATCATTTGAATGAACTGATTTATGTGTAAATAATAAGAGAGGTACCATTTGTTACTAAGCTACTATATAAATAAATTTCTTCTTATTTTTTAGGCTTCAATTCAAATCATTCTCTTTACAAAGTTGATACTATTTGGGTCAGTTATATGGCAGAATATGCTATTTTTGTAGAGCTGATAGCAGTTGAGTTTGTAAGGCAAATCTCATAATTGAAAAGTTAATGGTTTCTCAAAGCAAAGTCTTTCCTCTACAGCAGTGTTTCTCAACCTCAGCAACTTTAAGAAGTGTGGACTTCAATTCCCAGAATTCCCCAGCCAGGATACTGGCTGGGGAATTCTGGGA